TCAGATGTAATGCAACATTTCTAAAACTCACTAGTACCTTAAGTACATTAACACAAATGTCTTAAAATCGCTATGCGTTTTTCTAGTTGTTTAAAGCTGCAAATGTTAACTTACACGCTGTAAACGGCATGGCCAAACGATAAACGTCTAATTACACTGTATTGTCTTGGAACTATCAATTATCCCTGTTCCAAGACTTCACCTTAAAGACAACAGTTTGAAATCTTAAACATTTATTCACTCGAGCTACGTTAAGAAAGATGTTTGTAAACTGACCTGAGTCACTGCTGAGGCTGCGCGCGGCTCCAATACCCAGAGCGCGCGAGGGATTCCGCGTGACCGCACGCGCTGCGTGGACGCGGAGACCAAATCTGACCGCCATCATATTCATTTCCAGGTCAAGTCCGTCACAAAGCTTCACCGAGCAGAACTTTTACAACTCCAAAACCTGGTCCCGAAGCTTTTAACCCTCGGACCGTTACACACGCGTGCGGTCATTCACCTGGCAGGTCAAAGGCAAGCGTCCAGTGTTCAGATGAGGAGAGAGAGAGTGTCTGTGTGTGTGTGTGTGTGTGTGTGTGTAGCAGCATCATGGGAAAGAAATATGCCCTCAAATTATAGTGACATTACCGGTCATCACGTGCACAAACACAACCTCTTAATTAACACCATTTCCTGTTTGGAAAGCCTTGAAAGAAATGCAAACACACACACACACACGCACACATACATACATACATATTTACACGTCTAAATAATAGAAAGACGTTTGCAAGTAAATTAATACTTTTACTTTTTGGGATCAAAAAAGACGAGAATGTCAAAGGTGTTGTCCAATAGTTTTATATAATCTTAACAAACTTTATGATGCACTTTAAATGTTGTTTATTTTGTGTGTATGTATGTATGTATGTATGTATGTATGTATGTATGTGTGTGTGTGTGTGTGTGTGTGTGTGTGTGTGTGTATATTAGAGTCAATTAGAGAGTGACTATCAGTATTAAATCAGCTTTTATATTAAATTTGTCACCCTTTTTTTCGGCTCTCAGACTAAACTGTTTCAGGAATTTCCATACAAATAAAAAATGGCTTCTGTTTAGTTTTTGTTACATTAATATTGGATTATTATCCCTTTACAGCCATATCCTGAGTGGTGGTTGTTTTGAACTAAAATGGTCCTGTGGTCCACTACAGTGGACATGCTGTAAAATTATATAATATTTGAATATATTGAATATATATATATTTGAATATATATATATATATATATATATATATATATATATATATATATATATATATATATATATAATTCTTTTGAATCATACAATATTTTTTTCTTCAGATTTATACGTTGCTTTATGAAAAACAGTAATAGTTAATACTATAGTGTTTGTGAACGATACTACAGTAAAGTGTATTATACTGCATATACTCTTCAGTATTCACAACACTTAATGAGAGCTACAGCAAACTTAAGTATTATCTTTAGGTTAATTTATAAATTGTAATAAATACCTCAGTTTTTACTATAGTAGTCTGTTGGGTACTACAGTACATATAAGTTAGTTGTAGAAAACAGTAGTACTCTGTAATATTATTTACTAGGACTCTAGTTTACTTATATGCTATACATTTTTATTTAATTAAAGAAACATATGATTATTAAAGTAGATTAATTGTAAAATAACCACGTTGAATGTGTGTGTATGTGTTTATGTAGGCTTCGTGTATTATCAATTGTAACGCGTTTAAAAGAAGCAACAACAACTAACGTTAGACTACAACTATCAAGTTAAAAACAAGTTCTTCTAAAAGCACGTTTGTCATGTGTTTATTTCAGCAACATTGTCCTAAAAGGAAAGTTAGGTCGAAAAACAAACACGCAATGATCGATGTCTGGCAGAGCGACAGAACAATAAACGTTAGCCTTTGGAGGAAAACAAACAAACAGAAACGACTACTTTTGATCATTTCACACAGGTGATTGCACTCACATTAACTGAGCGGTGATAACAGGAAACGCAGCGGTCACTGGTCACTGATAATGCCACACAAACAGCTGAGAAATGATATTACATCGATAAAGATCATTTAGTTCAATTCAGTTAAAGACTTGTTTCCTCCAGTTAACTGAAATTCGTTAGGAGTGACGTGATGGAATGACCGTGGCACGTCATTGGCCACTAGAGGTCGCGGTTTATCTCATTTACATTTAAAGACTTTTAATGTGACTGTTTTCAATTTCACAAGGCTGTTTTTACAGCATCGATGTTGTAATGTATTTACAATACATTCAGTTAAACAGACCTAAGCATTCATTTGGTTGGTAAAGCGTAAAAAAGAGACGAACGACCATTTAAACATGGGTGGCGTCATTTGCGGCAGGCTAGCGCAGAAATTCCATTAAAATTATGGGGTGAAGTTAATTTCCTTATTTTAAAGACTTGGCGTGGACAAATATAATTTAATGCAGTGCTTCTTGTTTGGTCTGATACCCACTTTATATTGTATCTCAGCCAGGCAGTGAAGATCGCTGTTATTTTAAAGAAATAATCGTAAACACAGCGATTTTGTGTGGGATGGCAAATCAACCGGAAGCCGTGAGACTGGCTGACTGAATTTAAAAGTCCATCTGCATATACCCATTAGGTTACCATTGAGTAATGTAACTTTTTAGTCAACGTAATAAGAAAAGTAATTTAAATACAATTTTCCTGATCTAATAAATAATGAATTACCTTTTTCCTTTAAAAGTTTGCTTCAGAAGATACTTTTTTATTAAATGAGCCATATCAAAGGGATAGTTCACACAAAACTGAACACACTGTCACCATTTAGGCACCCTTTTTGTTGTGTTGAACACAAAAGTATGTAGTTTGAAAAATGTTGGCCATTGACCTCCATAGCAGGAAAAACAATTACTATAGTAGTCAATGGTTACTTGTTTCTAGCGTTTTTATAATTCCTTCTTTTGCATTGAACAGGGAAAAAAATACTCATGAAGGTTTGGAACCTTTTGGAGATCACTTAGTAAGAAAAATATTCATCTTTACTGAAAATCAAAAATTTCAGAAACAGAAGAGGACTGGCCTACCTCAACAAGTAAACATTCACACAGTGAGGGATCATGCTAAACTCTCATTACGTAATGGTAGTTACAGCAGTGAGCAAGCAATGTATCACATCTGTGGCTGTTTATTAATGTTTTGGTTTATCTTGGTTAATACAAATGCAATCATTATTGCTCAGGTTGGTTAAATATTATTAATACTAATATATTATAAAATAGCATTAAATAACGTTAACAATCAATTTGCAGCACATTTGTTACAGTATATTTCTTAAAGAGATATTTCACCAAAAAGATTTTAAAATGCTGCAAATTTACCCTCAGTATATCCAAGATGTGGATTCATTTTTCTTCAAGTTTTGGTCCTTGGTGATTCATAAAATTTAAGTCTGCCTGCAACTCCTGAGTGAAAAAAATAATAATCATAATACATACTGTCAGTAAAACGATATGAATTCTAGTGGTCACTATGCCACAGTTACCAAACAACCTCAACTTTAAGATTTCAGAAACAAAAAAATGTTAGTAAACTTACCTCAAAAACCTGATGAAGTTTTCCTTCATAAATGGTCAGGAAAAACAAGTATTCAGTAAAAGCAACATGCAATTAAAATACAAAATAACACAGAATGAAGCAAAATTAATAATTCTAACATAAAATATACCGACTACAATTATGATTTTTAAACTTCTATTTGACTGCTCCAACCACCCTCTACCAGAGCATATGCATTATAATAATAATAAAAATCTGAATACATTAGCCAGAATGAAAAAATCTGAATTATTAGCCCCCTTTGAATTTATTTTTCTTTTTAAATATTACTTAAATAAAATTTAACAGAGCTAGAAATTTTTTACAGTATGTCTGATAATATTTTTTTCTACTGGAGAATTTTTTTTTTATTTCAGCTAGAATAAAAGCAGTTTTTAATAAAAAAAAATTAAAAAAAAAACTTTTATGCTCAATATTATTAGCCCCTTTAAACTAAATTTTTCTTTTTTTATTTCCGATTGTCTACAGAACAAACCCTCGTTGCACATTAACCTAGTTAAGCCTTTAAATGGCACTTTAAGCTGCATAGAAGTATCTTTAAATAATATTTGACTAGATATTTTTCCTCTCATCGTGGCAGATAAAATAATTCCCCCAAAAAAATGGTGTTCCTTAATAAACAAATGAGTACAAACAATTTTGAAAATGAATATTTTGATCAATTTCTCAGTGAATATAGATTTATATTTTAGTTAGTTTGAACAAAACTGATTTAGAACACGGATATTTAATAATATAATATCTTAGTCACCGAACATCCTTAGAAATAGAAAAATACATTTCAATTTAAAAATACAAATTTTTTTGTTTATTTTATTATTATTTTTTTTTAATTTCTTTATTTTAATTTTTTATTTTTCCCTAATATATTTATTTAGGTGTAGTAATTTTTGGACCATTATTGTAAGTTTTTTTGTTAGATAAGCTCCAGATTTGTACTTTGCTGGGTTGTTGGTGCCAGACGGGCTGGTCTGAGTAATTCAAAAACTGCTGATCTACTGGGATTTTTACGCACAACCATCTCTAGGGTTTACAGAGAATGGTCAGAAAAAGAGAAAATATCCAGTGAGCGGCAGTTCTGTGGGCGCAAATGCCTTGTTGATTCCAGAGGTCAGAGGAGAATGGCCCGACTGGTTCCAGTTGATAGAAAGGCAACAGCAACTCAAATAAGCACTCGTTACAGCTGAGGTATCAGAAGAAGAAGAGCATCTCTGAACGCACAACACGTCCAACCTTGAGGCAGATGGGCTACAGCAGCAGAAGACCACACCGGGTGCCACTCCTGCCAGCTAAGAACAGGAAACTGAGGCTACAATTCGCACAGGCTCACCAAAACTGGACAGTAGAAGATTGGAAAAAGTTTCCTGGTCTGATGAGTCTTGATTTCTGCTGTGACCTTCGGATTGTATAATGGCTATCATGTCAATATGGACCAAAATCTCTTAAGGGATATTTCCAGTACCTTGTTGAATCTATGCCACGAAGAATTAAGGCAGTTCTGAAGGCAAAAGTGGGTCCAACCTGGTACTAGTAAGGTGTACCTAATAAAGTGGCCAGTGGGTATATAATACAAGCGTGCAACATCAAGTAGAATAACAAGCTGTTTTTTACAGCTGAAAATAAAAGAAACCAAGTCTAGAGGAAATAAGGTTCCATTAGCAGCATCCGTTCGCACATGAAAGACAGGTCAATAAGGTAACGTGATTAGCATTTCGTTGCATTGTACTTGTACATGTGTAATGACAATAAAGTTGAATCTAATCTAATCTAATCTAAATTAGAAGCGCACAAAAAGAAGTACCACACCACCACTAAAAGTAAATACATCTCTATATTAATCTCTTGTACCAAAACAAAACAAACCGAGTCCAAGAATGCATTTCCTTATAAAACTTTATTGAAGGTTTGTTTCTCCTGTATCAGGATGGAATGATATGAAAAAGACATAAGCGTCCATCTCCGAGGAAATGAGGAGAGGGCAATAAAACCAGACATTTAAGAGAGAAAAAAAAAAAAACCTCAGTGCTCTGCGTTGCACGCGTTCACTTTAAAACCATTCAGCAATGCTTCACTCCATCCACGAAAAACCGTCTTGAGATCTCCACACCGCCGCATTTCAACATCCATCATTTCAACTCAATTAAGTGTGCTTTCGGTTACACCGGTCCTTTTAAAACATCAAGCAAATCCGGGAAGCACCGCTCCGATTCAGCAATGGATCCCGAAGCCAGTTTCTCCACGGCAGCTGCTAAACGTCCACTTTGGCCTCTTGATCATTGGCAACGTGTAAAAATCTAGCTGAAATAAAGGTAAAAGAAGCTGAGGAAGGAAGCCCTGCAGCCCTCAGATACACCACAGACGGGCGGCTTCAGGACGGCCCGTGGTTTGGCTGTGTGGCGGGTCCTGTGATGTGCTGCTATAACTTCAGCGTTCCCGGCGGGAGGCTCCCATTGCACAGTCTGTAAAAGCGCAGGTCGTTCACGATACGATACACTCCCTGAGAAAACGACGGCAGGTCCTGGGAGAGAGTAAGAGAGAGTCGAGTCAAATCAAACTTGCAAACATTTTCGAAATACCACTTTTCTAGAATAAATGGAAATAAATAGATGAATAAAAAGACATCAACAGCAATAAGATAAAAGCAGTGTTGGGCAGTAGCTCAACTACATTTCTCAGTAGCGTCGCTACTTTCTAAATCAAATAGCTTAACAGCAGCGAAGCTATTTTATTAGTCAAGTAGCGCAGTAGCATCCACAAAGCCACATTTTACAGATCGTGGATCAATAAGTGACGGCACCGACATTCATTTAATGTGACTTTGAGGCCGATATCCAACCCAAGGGTTTTCAAACTGTGATTATGATGACAATTTTTATGCGTTCACTAGAGGGAATATGATTGACGTCAGCTCCACAGCTAACTTTCAGGCACCTGTAGAGTAAATGTGTTCCAGTAAAATATACACAATTAAAATGGATCATCACAAAATGTGGCAAAAAGTCCTACATGACGGTAATAGTTTGACTGCGATGTTTATCTCAATAATGTCACTAATATCTGCATACTCCACGTGTCTTAATTTCATTTCTGTTTAGTTCAGTTATGACTTTAGCTGGATTACGGTGATCAAAAGTAACTGTTTACATGGTAGACTCTAATCAGAGCACGGTCTTAATCATATTAAAATTGTATTAAAGTATTGTTGCCCATGTAAACCTCCTTAATGTTTGACTCAACCACACCGTCAAGGCTTTGCAAAGCACATGCATTATAATTTTGTTTTTTGTTGCTCCGAAAAGTTTGAAAACACCTGGTCTAACTGATGAAAGTAAATCCATATGATGGCGAGAATGACAATTTTTCTTCTTCCTGTTTTACGATAGTTGACTGCAAACGTTTTTGTACGCTACTGCCACCTCTGGTCAGATGACGTCGTCAACCAAATTAGGCTAACAT